TATAGAGGAGACCAAGCACCTTACAAATACTCCATGATTTACTAGATGTGAGCAAGTCATTAAGCATCAAGTTTAGTTTGGCGACAAAATTTTAACATCTACTACAATATATCTTCAAAAGAAATCATTCACAACCACACTCCCATGACAAGAAGACCTCACAGACTCAAAATAAATAGGAAAATCTCATACATAAATACTGTTCCAGCACTGGGACCCTCAGTCACGCAGAAAACAAATTGAGGCATTGAGTGGAGGCAAAGGGCACTTCTGCAGGAACTGACCCTCAGATTAGGGATTCTCAACCCGTTTTCCTAAGATGAGCAGTGGATGATTTGCTTGGAGGCTCCTTGTTCAGAAGTATCCTTTCTCCCTGTCACATGCACCGATGAGCCCCTCAGGCATTTGAAAGTATCAAGGTCTTCCTCCACGCTCCCTGTTCAACTCCATTTTTCTTCATTCTCCTCCTCTGCTTTCGCCAGGTTCCATTTTCAGTGCTTGGGCCTTTTAAGTCCCATACTGCATGCATCCCACGGGCCCATTCATTCCTCTGGTCATGCTCAGCCCTGACGAACCCCCAAACCACAGGCTGAGAATCCCTGCTTGAAGATCAGAAGTTCCAATGCTGGATTACGTCTCCTCCAATTGTGTATCTGGAGAGTGATAATAGTATATTAATTTCATGGGGAGCGGTCTGGGGAAAAAGTAACAAGAAATCTAATAAAAAACATAACTCATAGTTGCTGAGATGATAAATGATACATTTGAAATGAGAGAAAGAAGCAGGTTATATTTGTACCCAATTATCCTTACATGATATCCTGAAAAACCCTCAGTCTTGAGCAAATTGGGATGACTTTCCCCCCAGGATGACCCAAATAACATTTGCTACTTAGCTTTACAACACAGATGATGCTACGGGCCACAGAATGAAACTTGCCTGAGCTTGTCAAGTTAATTAGACTGCTTTAAACTTGGGCTCATTGTTAAGTTTTGTTTCTAACTACATTAAAAAAAATTAGAAACCTTAATATAACTTTCTTCTTAGTTCAATAAACTGGATGAGACTTTTCTGCCCTGTTTATAAATGTTAACATTTGTAGCAAACTGGATTGAAGCAGATGGGTTAAGAGTAAGGGTCTGTGGTTAGGCTAATGGCCCCCAAGCTTGATATTTGTGATCAGTTGTGTGTTCTTGGGCACTTTACTTTATCTTCTTGACCCTCTGTTTTCTCTACTGTAAAATGAGGATAATTCTAGTATTTTTCTCTCTCTCTTTTTGGTAATGGCAAGGGGTGGGGGATTAAATGAGATACCGTGCATGGCGCAGTTAACATAGTATTACAATATGCAATACTGACACACAATATTTTAGAATCAATTAATTATCCATCCACCTAAGTCAACCTTGTCCCCTGCTGCAGGGAGCTGCTAGGGTGCAGGGCAACAGATTAGCAAAGAGAAGCTGACTCCATCCCCTTCCCTGCTCCTCTCCTCTCTCCACAGAGCTGCTCCCTACTCTCTACTCTTGAAGGCCATCCCTAAACTTCCTGAGATGGTGGAGAAGTTCTTGTATTAGTTGTGAGGCAAAGGGGAACCAGCATTCTTTAAAAGGAGAGGAGATTATGACTAATGGATTTCTCTTTGTTATTGCTTTAGCTTTTTGTTTCCTTTGCCTTCTACTTCCCAATTCCTTCTGATATTCTTACCACGTTGCTTCTTTGAGTTTGTAACTCGAATGCCACATTTTTTCATATCCATCATTCTCCCTTGAGAAAAAGAAATCATTTTTATTTCCATATAGCACAGCTCTACATCCCATACAGTGACCCAAGTTTAAATTTCAAGTTCTATGAAACATTTGTAATCCCTAGGAAGTCTGGTGGACATCCTTATTCCACAGTTCCCAACTTCTGAGGTTAATTAATTCAATAGGGTAAGGCACATGCTTTTGATCCCAGATTTTCTTGAGGACTATACACTTTTATTTTTCATCTTTTCCCAGAGATGAACCAAATTCTGAGGTATTTTAATATCTATTGATTTCTATTCATTTCTACTGCCAACTAATCTCTTTTTCCAGAGAAATATTCAAAATGCAAGCTGGCAACAATTATTTCTTTGTGCAAATCAACTGCATCTCAGGATCTTACTGTCATTGAAACTTGATCCTTATATTCTGGCTATCTCAATCCTGTTAAGAACATAATTTTTGGTAACAGCGTATCTCTACTCTCTCAGTTAACACCACTTTCCCCCATGTAAGCGGTTGTGGGGAATTTTTCAACGACTATTGGAATTCCCTTCCATATTCTACTTCCCTATTTAACATCAGACAACTCTATACAATCACTGGATCTCTTGGTATACTTCTCTAAGTATCGGAGGAATTATTTACTCTGAATCATCATAAATGGGAGGAAATTATTTGAATATACTCATTTTCCTGGATTTTAATTGTTCCCACAGGTAAATGGAGAAAGGAACACATGCAAATTATGTAACATCCTCTACCAATAATTTTACAAAATACTCTATGGTGAAAATACTACAGTTCTACAGAGGAACTATTTTTATTACTTAGAGTACCCAGAAACCAGCTGGGTGCAACTAATGCAAAACTAAAATGCAACTGAAAATGACAGGCATTTTAGCTCCTTCTTTACAGTAAGTCTGTGGTTATTTTCATGATAGAAAAAAACTGTATGACACTGCATCTTCTACCTCCATCCATACCCATTCTCCTGTCCCTCACCCCTTACACCTCATCTTCACCCAGTGATCCCATGCAGCTTCAATATAATTACTGTTGAATAGTGGAATGCCTTTGCACCACCCTGCAGAGGTTAAGTCAGGTTTCCTTGCAGCCATGATCCAATTCTCACCCCCTCCTCATCCCCAGTGGAGACCACTGCAATTAAGGAAATACTACCTTTTCTTAAATAGAAGATGAATGTCAGTGCTACACCAAGGAGTAAAAGGATGGCTCCCAGAATTACCAAGTGAGTCCTTTCATTTGGAGGAAGTGCCAGAGGTAGTTCTGAAAAACAAAACAAAACAAAAACAAACTGACTAAAGATAAAATTTTGATGGGAAGGGGTCATCAGGAGAATAGTCATCCTTGAAGTTTAGTTTAGCTTTAGGATAATTTTCTTAAATGCCAAAGTTTGAGTGGCTGGAATGGCGAGATACGTCTGTTAAAATGGGAACAGCATGGAGAAGTGTAAGAAGTCCAGACTTTGAAAAGGTGGCGCTGGGGTTAAATTCTGCTGCCCCTTAACCAGTTTTGAGGTCTTGGGCAAGATACTTAACCAGTGTACAAAATACAAATGCTAATACATTTCTTGTGAGGCTAATATTTTATAATGTGCTTAGCACAGTACCACATGGAGTGGCTACTCAGTATTAAATGGTGGCCTTGATTATTTCACTTCCATTTATTTATTTATTTATTTATTTATTTATTTATTTATTTATTTATTTTTGAGGCAGAGTCTTTCTCTGTTGCCCAGGCTGGAGGGCAGTGGCACAATCTTGGCTCACTGCAACCTCCGCCTCCCAGATTCAAGCAATTCTCGTGCCTCAGCTTCCCAAGTAGCTGGGATTACGGGTGCACGCCACCACATCTGGCTAATTTTTGTATTTTTAGTAGAGGCAGAGATTCACCATGTTGGCCAGGCTGGTTACAAACTCCTGACCTCAAGTGATCTGCCCACCTTGGCCTCCCAAAGTGCTGAGATTACAGGCATGAGCCTCCACTCCCGGCCCCTCTTGCATTTTTTAATATAGAAGTTAGTAGCCTACAGTACATGGCAGAGATGGCCCACAGTAGAACATGGAAAACCAACCAGCACTGCTAAGGAGCTCCCACCTCCTCCTATCTGTCATCATGATTGGAGGCCAATGCTTGTTGTCTTATCTTTCTCTGCAGTTTGAACATCTCTGGACAACAAGTCATTAGTATCTCTTACTAGGCTCCTTGTCTGGGGTACCATGCAGGAGGAAAAGGGGTCCCATGGCACACAGATGTTCAGAGATTGCTAACTCCCACCTCTCACCCTTAGTCAGCTCCTACCTGGCTCAGCTCTCCACTGAGACCCATGATCCATCTCTAACTACCCAGGTGAAGCTTTAAAGACACAACAACAGCCAGCTTTTTCCGTAACTTACAGTTTACAATGCCTGTTCATATATGTTTTATTTCAGTTTCAGAACAACTTTATGAGTTAGGCATGCCAGTTATTTTAAAAAATCCCCAATTTACAGATGAGGAAACAGACTCAGCACAGTTAAGTGAGTTACTGTAGGCCACCCAACAAGTAAGTTGTCATAAAACAGCTTTTAAATGGCAGGAACCCACTAGTCTAGCTTTTACTGAAAGCCAGTTGAATACCTGAGGACTCATACCCCAGTAAGAGCATCCCCATCATTTTCTAAACTTTTTTTTCCCTCTTTCTGTTCACAAGACCATCCTGGATTATCTTTTCCTATTGATTGACTTTTATGTCTAATTTTTCAGCTGTTTTTGCTGAAGTACATGGCATTTTCCTGTCAACATCTATTGGGGGCGGGGGAAGTGAGAAGCTCTTCTCAGAATATCTTTGTGTTTATATTAAATATCATGCTCACTCACCTCACCTTCTTTCACATTCTGAGCCTCCCATCAGACTCTGTCTCCCACCCTACCTACTTCTATAGAGTAGTGAGATAAAAAAAAAATAGTTGAATTTGTGCAGGCACTGGTCTCAAATCATTTTCATACACTGTTGCTAATTTGACCCCCACAATAACCTTGCTCAGTAGGTTATAATCCTACAGAGAAAGTGAAGCACACAGAAGTGTAGCAATTTGCCCAGGGATACATAGCCTCATGTCCTGTGCACTAAACAGACTGCTAGCGTTGAAATATTGTAGACTACCTTGGGAGAGGCACAGGGGAGAAAGGGTCCCTCCTGTTTGGCATAAGATAGAAAAATACATTTCATTTATTTCCTGCCACAGAAACCCTAGTAAGAAGGAGGCGGCTCTGATGTGCCAGGATTTGGATTCCTGAAACATGGCCTGAATTGAATATTCCTCTCAGGTATTCCCCCAGGTTTCCCACATGGTATGAAAGCATTCCCACATGGTATTGGATTGCCTGTTTTTTGTTTGTTCATTTGTTTTTTATCTGTTTCCTGAAGAGTGTGAACGTGAGTCTTATTATTCTACGTGTGTCAAATGAGTACTACAATGCATGGAACAAAAGGCATATTCAATAAATATCTGGTGAATGTTTATTAAGTAACAATATGATTTGGATGAATGGAAGTGAGGAATTAGGATACATTTTGTAAATATAATGTTATTCATTAATTCATTTATTCAACAAACACTGAATGACTGACTATGATAGGCAGACATCATGCTAGGTGCTAGGGGACAGTGTTAGACATATTTTAATGGACACATTCAGAATATTACCTGGGATGACCAATTCAGCTGTATGGTTTTCCTCAGGATCTAATCTCCTAAAAATGCAGTAGAAAATCTCATTAGCTGTTGTGTTGATTCTCAGTGTGCTGGTCACATTTAAAAGCTTCTCCTCTCTCTTGGAATTGGTGGTGGTGGTCTTACCACTCAGGACTTGATGGTCACTGCTTGTCCAAATGACTTCGGCCTTGGGGTAGCCCTCAGCCTGACATGTTAGTTCATGTTCAGAGGTGACTGGATCGACAACCAAAATTCTTTGGTTGATTTTGTTGTATGGAGCTAGGACATAAGCAAAAAGAAGTCAGGGCTTTTGCTGAGCACAGAACTAGATATATAGCTTGATGCTGTCTACATTAGAAAGAGGATCAATGCAGGCTGGTTCTCAGAGGGATACGCTTAATGTTCAGATGCCTCAGCAGTGGGGAACACCTGCTAGCTCTGCCTCAGTTCAGTTCAAAGTTGGGACAAGTTTGGGTTAATAGGAATGACTATCTTGCTATAAAAATCATGTTGGTACATTTATTGGGCTCAAACAAAATGTAAAGATTAATTTACACTAAAACCCCAGACTTCACCACTATGTAATATATCCGTGTGACAAAACTGCTCTTGTACCTCTTGAATTTCTACAAAAAAAATTTAAAGAGAATTATCTTTAAACCAGCAGTCTTTCTATTCAAATATAAAATACCTCTCTCCATGTATTCAGGTTTTCATATGTTTCTCAGTAAAGTGCTATACTTTTTACATAGTGCCCCATTTCTTCTTAAATTTATTCTTGGATATTTTATTTTTGTTGTTATAAATCTGTCTTTATAAACATGAATCTCTCCAGCTGGTATGCTTTGTTTTCTTAGACTTTATTTAGTAAACAGAAAACCTGATCTTGATGTGTCATTCACTTTTCTGATTTGAAGCCAATGATCAGAAATTAGATATAAAAATACATACTGTTTCATCTGTAAACAGTGATACATGTTCCTGGCGACACTTTTTAATGTTTAAATTTGTTCTTTATTTTAGAAGTTTTAAATTTACAAAAAAATTGCAAAGATAGTATAGAGTTACATATACCCCTTGCCCAATTTCCTCTATTGTTAGTATCTTACTTTACCGTGGTACAATGGTCATAACTAAGGACATTAGTACATTATTAATAACTAAACTGCATAATTTATTCCATTCCTCCAGTTTTTCCCTAATATCCTTTTTCTGTTCTGGGATCTATCTAGGATACCACATTATGATACTTATATTTTAAGCTTTTAAATGCTGGCTATTTTAATAAATCACTTAAATAATTATGCTCAAGGAAGAAAGTTTGATTCAATTTTAGATCATTGGTTTGGGACCCTTTTGGGATTAAGATACCGTTTGCTGACAATTCTAGTAGATTGTTCAGTGCATCTATATAGCATAAGAGCTTTATTCATGTTTATCTATTACAAGTACATTAACATGTTCTTATTTTGTTGATATAATCTTTTTTTTTACTCCTAATACTACAGCATAACCACTAATGATCTAGAGCCTTAACTCTCCATTCCTTTACCAAGGACAACAATAGATCTGTGATGTAGTTTCTTCAGAGTTAACACAAAACAGCTAGGATCAAACAAAACTGAAATAAATAATGAGTGATGTTTTGATACTCCTACATCAATGAAACCACTACCAGTGGAAACACTGGAAATCAATAAAATTATGATTTCAAAACACAAAAATAATAGTTCTTATGAGTGGGTTGCTTTGGGGTAATTATGGATTTTCAGATTCTCTTATCTAATTTTGACTAAACTAACCATCTTACAAAATTAAACAACTAATTTAAAAGTTTTCCACAAAGAAACTGAGGATTGAAGATAATACTAATAATTCAAGCACAACCCAGAGGAAACAGCAGAAGTGACACTTCTTATTGGTGACTGTATGAGGTTGTAAACAATTAAGTACTTAATTAGACCTCACAGTGTTATATAAAAAAACACAAACCTCAAGATTATTGACACTATCCACCTTTGTTCATCATAAATTCCACCCTAAGGTATATCATGCCTTGACATATTAGCTAACAATAGTGAAGCGTCACAATTAGTAAAAATTGAAAATATTGTTTATTAAATTTTTATTTCATCCTCTTAAAATGTCTGTTTTTGTACAAATGTCTATTAGGTTGAACCAGATGAAACTGGTAATATTCAACCTTTTTTGCTCTTCAAAAATGGCAATTTCTTACGGTACAACCTATATATTAATAGATAGTAAATTTTTTATAATTACACACAAATGTGCCTGCACAGACACACAAGTTTAAAATGTTTTACAGATGAGGTGAGTAATCAAAATTTTTTGCAGACCCCTGGTCTACTAGATCTAGAACACTATACTAATATTGAACAATCAAAATCAAGAAAAGGTCATGATAGTTTTGAAGCCAATATATAACTTGATACAAACACCAGAGGTGCAAATACAGGCAATAAGTGGTTCTTAAGGGCCCAGACTTCAGAGCCAATCTGCTTGGATTTAGAACTAGCTTCATCATTTACGAGGCTGGGTGAATTTGGGCAAATTACTTAATTTCTTTGGACCCCAGTTTCCTCATCCTTAAAATGGGAATAATACCACTTATCATGAAATCAAAGATTCCATCATTGAAAGACACACTCAGATTTCAGAGACAGTGAAGTGTGAAAAATACTCATCTTACATGATGAAGCACCTACCCCACAGAGTCATTTCCAGGAGGAAATGAACTAACTTAGGCAGAATGTTCAGTACAGGACCTAACACACAGAATAAGCAAGTGCTAATTGTAGTAGTACTCGATAGTTGTAGTAGTACTCGATAGTTGTAGTAGTACTCGATAGTTGTAGTAGTACTCGATAGTAGTAGTAGCAGAGCTGCTTCTCCTCCTCCTCCTCTTACTACTGCTGCTTCAGTGTACCCTTTAGAAGGTGCTAACAGTTCCTGATGAACAGTTTTGGAAATAAATTTTCATATATCCAAGTCTGTTCATGTTTCCAAAATTTTAGGCTAATCCTATTTGAGGAAATCATTCATTCATTGACTCAACAAATATTTTTTTGTGTGCTTTTGTCATACTACCACTCTGCTGTACGTCAAGCCCTGGGGATACAACAATATTAAAAAACAGACCCAAATCTCTGTGCTTGTGGAGTTTATATTCTAGGAGGAGAGAGACAATAAACAAAATAGAAAAGTATGATATGATATGCTACACAATATACTAGATAGAGATAAATGCTACAGAGAACACTTAAACAGGGCTGGGAATTTTGGGGAAAGATGGGGTTGGTGGGGAATGACAGCAGTTGATCTGGTCCATACGATCCAAATAGCTTTTCTGGGATAACTATGCAACACTTTGATCTTTCAGCTGCCTCATCTCATTGAAGGTCCTGAAAGTCTGAATGAACATTTCGTTTTCCCTGCTATTAGGTTCAGTGATTAAAGAAAAACACTTTTAATTGAAAGTTAGAGGCCTGAGAGTCTGGTATTTAAACTCACAAACATGAAAGGTGCAATAACACCCAAAGTGATCATGATAATTGAGTGAATCCAAAACTAAATTCTTTCAAATTTCAGTTTTGAAATGTTTCACCTTTAAAATCCCATGGTGAGTAAACTCCTGTGGCAAAGCTATGTTACCACACATTTGCTGTGATGGGAAGTGAAGTTCAACAGCAGTACTGTGAAATCATTTGCATATGGAGGTGACTCAGGAGTTCTACTTCCCTGAGTTGGAAAACTTCTGCAAGCCAGCTACCTCGTTTCCATTGGAGACACTGCCTCAGTGTAAGTGAAGCTTGGTGGTTGCCTTCCTTGTTCTAAGTGCAGAAGGTTCAGACTTTTGGTATAGCTCAACTCAACCCCAAAACCACTGTCTGCAAATGACAAGATGAATTGGGACTAGAATGCAAATTAACTAATTTAAAATACAAAATGGAATTGTCAAATCAGGTCCTCAAACCTGGTTGGTCATTTGCTTTGCTCCCTGAAGAACTCCCCCTTGGAAAAACCATCAGTGCCAGAAGATTTCCTATTGTGTTGATCCATGGCAAAGGAGACTGCAGATACACAAGGGATATTATGGAGCCCAGATGACCTGAATAAAACCCTTTGCTACTACAAGGACAGCTGTCCCCTCCCTATACACTCCCTACAGGCTGATGAGAGATCTTCTTTGGAAGCAGAAACTTATACTTTATGCAGCCTTCTTCCTGACTGCCAGGATTATACTCTTCTTTTCCATCCCAGATCTAGCAATGCTGTTGATGAGGCTAAGTCATGATGATTTCTTTAATATCTTGGAACACAGTAGATGCCTGATATTTGCTGATGGACTGGAGAAAAACTGAAAGTATAAACCACAACATCTCAAGAAATGCCGTGAATGGAGAAGCACATGGTAAAATATAATGAAAATTAAATCTACTTTACAAGTGATATCTTCTTGACAATAGTAGCATTATTTGAGCCAGAATCAGGGACCAGAAATACAACATAAAACTGATACATTTCTCTTAATCCCTACATGATTTTGTTTTTGAGTTTATAATTATCAGTGATCATTGATTAATCATTGATCAGTGATCAATGACAAGTGTAGACTTTTTCTACTTGTATTGTTAGCCCTCAGATTGATGGTAGTTAGTCCAGGAGTGGAAGTACCAAGGGGAGATGATTTAATTCTAGTCAAATATTAAAAGGTCATCATGGAAATGAAATAATTCCAAAACTACAACTAGAGGGGCAGATTTCAGCTTACTATTAGGGAGTAATTTCAACAGGATATGGAAGGGGAGTCCAAATGGCAGGGATGCCATTGTGGGATATGACAGGGACGCCACTGCAGGAAATATATGAACA